TTCCCGGTGTCCGGGGCTGGGTGCTCGGGTGTGTACTGGTTTGCTTCCTGGCAGCCGCTTGGCATGGCATGCTGTCATTTTTTTTTCCTCTTTTCTTTTCTTCCCTGCTATTTTTTTCTCAGTCTTTATGTTAACTCTCTCTCCAACTTCACTTTCTTTCTTTTTTTTTTCTTTTCCATCCCCAGTCTTGTCAGTTATGGTCGTAATAATCCAAAATAAAGAAATCCTAATAAAATTCTAATAAAATATAACTATGACGCAGACCACTGTTGGCCTTTCTTTGGCCTTCAGACAGCAATTCTGATTGTTACACTGTCAGACAGAACAGGGGAAAAAAATCCATGTATATATTTTTCTTGTACTTACTGAGAAATAAGAAACATTAAGACATGTAGCTTTACGGCTACAGCACAAAGTAAAAACAGATTTAAATTACAACAACAACATCGTTAGAAAGATTTGAATGGAAATATGAATGAAAAATAGAATAAAGAAACTGAAAAGCAAAGACAGGCTAAATGAAAACCACATGGATCAAAGGCTATGGATTTCAGTTTAAATATCTTAGCAGGATGAACACAGACTGATTATTCAATGGAGAAGGATGTGTTGGTACAAAATGTCCAGACAGGAACTCCATGAATAACCATCTGACACACTAGAGGTTAATCCGAAAAATCAGAAACAGCAGGAACTATGGGAAACAGTATGACATATCAAGGAACTAAATCCACAGGAGGTGACGTGGAACTGCTCATGGCTCAATGAGACACGAAAAGTAAACTAAAATTAAAGCAAACGACTATCAAAGTAATACGGGAAATAACTAAAAGGGGAGCACTAACAAAGTGACAGAGACTTTACTACACATGGGGAGCACAGGGGAGGCACGTTTAACTGACAGAACAAATACTATAAACACCAAAGTAACTGGAACAGAAGCACCAAAGTGACAACGCAATAAATAAACAAAGAATCAAGCTAAAGACGATTATTCGTCAACACAACTTAGGAGTTCAAAAACAGAGAACCCAGGGCTGTGACACCCACATATTTATAATTGAATACTGAACTGCACCGATTAACAACTATTAACAATGTAATATAACGGACAGAGAAAACAGTGAGCACAGAGGGATCTTGATGCTTAGCTTTCCTACATGTGAAGCACGAGTTTGGTCCTCTTTCAAACAACCCATATGGAAAAGAGATAGTAAAAACTTATATGTGATTACTCATGAAAGTGGCCACTTTCATGAGTAAATCATATAAGGCTTACATGATTTACTCATGAAAGTGGCCACTTTCTCATTACTTTCATATATTTTTTTAGTAAGTATCCAAAACATACAAGTTTCATTATATAAATTTTCACGGGATCTTATATCTGTTTTCACTCTTATATGCTTTTCATACAAGTCTCACACAAGACAGATACAAACTTTATAAGATTTATATATATCTTTTCCATATGGGAAATGTCACTTTTAAGCTGCTATATTCATGGAAGCTAAGCTCAGAAGCTTTCTGAGAGTGTTCAGGTCATTTTACACTGAAAGTGTCCAAGTGACTTGGCTAACTGTAGCAACTTGTTAACAAGTAGCTAATGTTAGCTTTTTAACACCAACTGAACACAGGATACTAAAACAGTCATCTAATGTTCTCAAGCAACTCGTCAGCCCTCAATTTTATATTGTGCTGTTGACTGTTTTCTCTGGCTGTGAAAATTACTATGATCAGTGCCTCCTTTTGTTGTTATTTAGGCCCTGATAACATTTGATGATACTAACAGAGTTCAATATGTCATGCTATAAATGTCACGGTCCTGAGTCTGGTGACTCAGTGTTTATGTTTTTGTTTATTAATATTATTTGATTCAGTGATTTCTGGTTATACTTTAGTGATTTTTAGATCTTAGGTTTTGTTACTGTGCCTCCCTTGTGTTCTCTGTGTCAAGTCAGTTATGTTTTCTTGTCTGTTCTTTCCTGGTTTCTATGTTCGTGCATCTCCTCGGTCTTCTCTGTCATCCGTGTCTCCTTGTCAAGTCTGCGTCTGGATTGCCTGTTTTGTATTTCCTGTTTTACTTTGACGGTCTCGTGTCCTGTGTTCACTGTTTTGAGTTTAGCTTCCACCCTGTCTCGTTTGGTCAGATTAGTCACAGCTGTGTCTCCCTCCTGTTTCCAATTCCCTCGTCACTTCCTGGTGTATTTAAGCCCTGTGTTTTCGTCTGTCCGTGTGTTGTCATTACCTTATGTTGCTGTGTGTCTTGCTGTGCCTTTTTGGTCCTTATCACTAAATGGTTCTTCTGAGTTTCTAGTTTTAGTTTGTAGTTCCAAAGTTTCTATTTTTATATTTATATATTTCTAGTTTTATTTATGTTTTCTTGTATTGAGTTTTGCACAGCCATTAAAGCTGCCTCCTTCAGTTAAACCTTTCGTTTCAAGTCCTGCATCTGGGTCCTACATTCTGCCTGCCACAGCACGAGTCATGACAATAAAGCTCATACCCACTAGAAGATAAAAGAATGATGAAATAACTGTATCTGACAAAGCAGTCTCCCTAAAGTTTCCGACATCTTCAACATCTCTCTGAGCAGTGCCGTCGTTCCCACGTGCTTCAAGGCCACCACCATCGTCCCCGTGCCCAAGAAGTCTTCTGTGTCCTGTCTCAACGACTACCGTCCGTTGCACTTACACCCACCATCATGAAGTGCTTCGAGCGGCTCGTCATGAGACACATCAAGACCCTGCTGCCCCCCTCACTGGACCCACTGCAATTTGCATACCGCCATAACCGCTCAACGGACGACGCCATCTCCACTGCACTCCATCTTGCCCTGACACACTTGGACAAGAAGGACTCACACGTCCGAATGCTGTACATAGATTTCAGCTCAGCATTCAACACGATCATCCCCCAACAACTGATCGGAAAGCTGAGCCTGTTGGGCCTCTCACACACTCTTCACACTCCTGCCATCTGAAAAAAGGTACCGAAGCATTCGGGCACACACATCCAGACTGTGCAACAGCTTTTTTCCACAAGCCATCCGTCTCCTCAGCAAAAAGGGACTGACTGATACACACACACACACACACACACACACACACACACACACACACACACACACACACACACACACTATCACTCAGGTTAACTCAACTACCTCAAAACATTGAGACTGGACTGACTAATCAACACAAGCGCAAACACACTGACCTACACCACCAAACCATCGTACACACCAACCTGTAAATGCTCTTTTGCACAATATTATTACTGGACTTTTTGCACTAACTTCTGTACTTCCTAATTTTTGCTGCTACACTAAGGAATGTTTACTGTTCCTCCACTACCTCAACTCATCATCACAAAACCTTATTATTAAGTTACGTTGTGTTTTTCTATCATTCTGTCACTTTGATGCTCTGTTTGCACATTTGCACGTGCGCTTTATTGTCTGCTGTCTGATAACAAAAAAAAAAGTCTTCCTTAGATAGTTAGATAGTTAGTTTTTTTTTTTTTGTTTTTTTTTGTTAATTTATGTTGTAATTTATGTTAGGTCAGTCTGTCTTGTCTCTGCTAGCCAGCTAACTAGGCCTCTTAGTTAGCTAGTTTAGTGTTTTCTGTTAATTTATGTTGTAAATTTATGTTGCATGTAGCACCTTGGTTCCTGGAGGAACGTTGTTTCGCCTCACTGTGTACTGTTAAACTGTATATGGTTGAAGTGACAATAAAGCCAACTTGACTTGACTTGACTTGACTTGACTTTGAGGAGCCTTAATGGTAACAGATTCAATACTTTTCATTTGCTTTGAAAGTCAAAGAACTACTGTTAGAGAAATCCAAACTATTGAAGTGACCTAAAAAAAACAGACTTCTGTGTAACATGGTTTTCTACATGTGACATGTATGAGTGTGTTTGAATTCCTTTATAGATTATTCCAGTTAAAGCCACAGACAGCAGACACGAGATCAGACTCCATTTTGGCACCTCGAGCTAAGCACTTTGTGAAATGCGGTGAGCAGAGATCGATGGGAAACTGCAGGCTCCTACTTGTAGATTTCAAAATATCCATCATACCCTGATTTAACATCTATTTTACTGTAAATGCAGCAATTTACTAAATGAACATGATGCATTACTATGCCCATCGTTTATATACAGTCTGTGGTTAAAGCATGATTTATTATTCCACTAAAACCAAAGCTGATTAAACACTTAGCTTGAATGCTAAGCTTTACACTGTCATCATTAATAAATATATCAATCACAATAGCCTCAGTTGGTTGTTTTTCTCCAGTTGCTGACAAAATGAAATAAACTCCAGATCAAAGCCTTAATTAAACCAAATGGCCTTAATGTGCTGTTATTTACACTTCTATGTTTGGACTCTACCCAGCAGGATCAAGACGGAGAAAAAGGCAAGACAAGAACTGGGTTTACTGGTCTATTCAGCCCTTCTTGGTATGATCCAGATCTCCCATTTGTAAACAGTTTAATTTAAAAGCCAGAATGCTTGGCTCTGCAGCATTTCTTTCGTCTGTCTTTTTCTTAAGTACATTTACCGTTGTAAGAATGACCAAAGCTGATAATACCACTACTGAGATGGAATTTTTTGCAGTTACACTAAAGAAAACCACAGGGTCCTGCAGAGAGGGGACAGCGGTTGTGCTTCTGAACACCGAGTCCTCCGACAGCATTCACAAAACAAAATTCTCAACTAATTAAAAATCACAGCTGCTCAGCAAGGAATGTTTAAAACGCCAGGAATCTCTGTGGAAATATTGTTAATGAAATGCTGAGAAGCCTAATGCTGTGTTTTTATGTAATTCTGCTCTTTTATGTCTTATTTATCTGTAATATTTACTGTGTTGGACCTCCCAAAGATTATTCTGTGACATGATGTAACTGCAAGTAAATCTGGTACTGTAGATTCCATCTATGTGTCCAAATGCATAAACCTGCCTCAGCATCCAGACAGTTATCCAGCACTCACCTCAGACAGGAGCTGTCAGTGAGAGGTTTCTGACTGACAAGCTGGCTCTCCGATCTCAGAGATTCTGTCATTGCTTCAGCCTCACTCAGCTGCCGATCCAGGTCTGCAGTCAGGAGTAATAAATCAAACATAAGACGACGTCACTCAGGGAAGACAGACACATGCTGTAGCTACACGGTTAAAACAACAAAACAAGGTTTGGATTATACAAAACTACAACTGTTAAAGTTTCTTATTCTAAAGGGACTGGTATGGTTGTGTGTTGGTCCTACACAGAGCTTGCAGACTGTCATGCAGCTGTGTACCCTCACCAAGAGGGCAGTGCCAAAAACAGCTATGTGGGCTACGCTTCTGTGTTTGTCGATCTTTTAGTTAAGCTCCTGCCACAAAGAAGACCAAAGTCATGAAAGACAAAGAAGTTCTCTGTAGTGAAGTGAAACTAAATGTTAAAAACAACAAAAACTGTCCACTGCAGCCAGTCTGTGCTTCTCATTCTCTCATACATACATGACTTACTCATGGAGTAACACAGTTCCTGTCTTGAGACCATATCATAACTATATTCTATATCTGTATTCTATATCGTCATGATATGGCTCATCAATTTTATTCCTCTGTAGTAGCTACAGCTACAGCACCCTTGTTCTTGAAAGCCTGAACCAGTACACCACTTGTTGGGTTTATCTAGGCACAAACCCCGCTGGAACACGAGACCAACAACTGCACGACAAAACAAGGCAAGAAGGCACTCTCTGTGTTTGTGGCTCGCGAGGGAAGTCAATCAAAGTTGAGGAAAAGATTCCTTCACCTGAACTCGACCAACTTCAACTGATTCCTTCGCTACAGTTATTTTTATTGTCAGCAAGCAATCATTCATGAATATGCAATTACAAATACACGTGACATTCTTAAAACAGGCATATCTGAGCAACATCAGTGTCTGTATTCTGTGTGTGTGTGCAGGTGTATGTGTGTGTGTGTGTGTGTGTTTCCAGCCATTCTATACATAGACATATGACCTTTCAGTGAACTTAAATTGTATGCAGAAGTAAGCATCTTGCTAAACTATAAAAACAGGAACTTGCAATAGGTCATATCTCAAACTCTCAAACTCACATTTAAAGGTGTGAACTCTGGCACTTTTAAACAGAACAGGACAGTCTGGTTTCAAAAGCTATAATAGAATTATAACATCGAGACTGCTTCCTCTCATCTCATGGTACACAAGTGCACACAGAATCTTATCAGACCTAATAAGGATATGATTTTTATCAGCATACGAATGGATATATATTTCTAAGGATAAATGACAATCTTAAATGATTAATTCTGACACCACTTTTCTTTCCTCAGACATCCTCTCACTCTCTAAGACTTTGTGAGGTTCTGGAGAGCTGACACAATCTCTCATGTAGCTCAGCTCCATGCCTCCACAGGTATGTCATCTGTACCAACTACCTTTCCACTCTTAATCTTTTGATGGTACGTTGAATTTTGTTACGTTCTTTCTCTCACTTCCTGTTTTAATTTGTTGTCCGTTTTCTTACATTTTATTTAATTGCTAACTTTTTTCAGTCTGCTGCCAGTTTTCTTTCACACCTGTTCTACATCAGCCAATTACTCACCTGTGTATTCGTGTGTGTTCACTTTCCCATTGGTTCCATGCCAGATTGTCTTGTTGGCAGTCAAGACTTCCAGCCCTTTCTTATAATTCTAGTATAAGCTTTTCTTCTTGCTTTGTTTTGCCAGTGTCTTTATTTCATTTTTATTATCTTCATGTACAGACTGGTTTTTGGACTTTGTTCTGCCTCACCTTTTGGATTTTATGTGGTAAAACCCTGGACAGAAACAAAGTTGTGGACTTTTGGATTTACTTTGACATGGAATGTTTGGCTCCTCTTCTTAGAAAGGACTTATTACAGTATGTGTGTGTACAGCCTCCTTAACTCAGATTTAAAAAACACGGCAAGCACACCCGCTCAACCTGTTCATGGAGCCAGAAATATGTTGTAGAAGATCTAACATCTGGGCTCAAGATTAAACTGCCTTGGCAGACCAGCTGAATTATAAAATAACTGCTGGTCTGGGTTAAAGGCTGTGTGAATGCATGTGGAAAAATTAAAGGAGCTTACAGAGGTCCTTTTAAAAATATGGCTATGGTCTGTTTTGCATAAAATGAACCTTCGCTGCTCACCTTCGTCGATATCATTCAGACTCTGTAGTTCAAGCAGGAGTGCTCTCTTCTCTTCTGCAATGGAGCTCATGTGACTGTTTGTGCAGCTCATCAACTCCTTCTCTAAATTATAGAAGAGGAAAAGATAAATCTGCAAAGGTTCTCATGGATTGAGTAATAATCACCAGAAACTCTATAATGAATGTATACTGCTGGACAAAAATACAAATACATAATGCAAAGGTTGTCATAGGGGCCACAACCTGAGTTTAAATCACTTCATATTAGGCCTGTATAAGAGCTGTTAGTTATCCTAACGATTACATTAAAAACATGAACACAGTGTTTTTGTTTGGCTGGTTTCAAACTGTCAAGAAAACCTTTGTTACATTAAACTTGTTTTCTAAAACCTTTTTTGATATTTAACCTTTACTTTACCTTTGTGTGGTTAAATATCTAACCACACTTTAATAGATATATATGTTCACAGCACAAGTATTAATAGTGCAGCAAACGCCAGGTGTTTGAGTGTGAGCTTATATAATTATTATAAGTCCTGAGCTCACTAACCAACTTAACACAGATTATACTGGAATCTTGGGTGTTTAAACAGATATAGTTTCTTGCATTTCTATATTTAGCAGGCAACTGTTATACTACTATGAGATGTCTGGGCTCATACACAGTAGATGTAGCAATTATTCATTTCATTCAGGACCACTTCAGTCAAAAGAATATATCTGTACCTGAGCTGAGGTGACGCAAAAATTTCCCCATTGTGGGATCAATAAAGTCTTATCTTATCTTATCTTATCTTATCTTATAAAATGATAAGCTGGGCAGGAGGTGGGATGCAAAGCAGCTTGCAGCTGTGTGGCAACAGCTTATATAGTATCCTGAAAATCTTACAGGACATTGATCTGCAAACAGAATATGTAGAAGGGTATAGGGCTGTTCGATATAACGATATATATCGGATGACGATATAAAAACATCTAGCGTTTCATTTTACACTATTGTTTGTTTCGTGGTGTCGCAAAATAAACTGTTTACGACAATATTTGTTCATCGTTCTGATGGTCACTGTAGTGGCTATATTAATTTCTTAAAGTTCTCTCTTTCTCTTAAATGTAATATAACCACATTACTGATGGACAAGCACCTGTTTTTATGCGTTGTCATTAGCAACAGCGACGGTAACACCTTCGCGTGTCCGCTTGTTTATGTTCCACTTAAACCTTTCACAATAAAGCTCAAGATCCTGTTGAAACTTTTCAAAATAAACTGAATCACGTGAAAGAGCAGATTATTTACGGATGAGAGTAAAAAAGCGCCGCCAGGTGCTAAAAAAGAAACCTTAGACCCAAACGTTAGAACAGGCTTTTCCCCGCAGCACGCCATGTAATAAATACAAAGAAAACGGCGGCCGTTACAACTTATGTCTAAAAATGTATAGTTTCATGCATTGGTTAAAACACTCGGCTCCGGGTAAAGGATGCGCAGCTGGAAACACTTCACGCAAGTCGAGCTGCCTGAGATTCACAGAATTTACAAAAAATGTTAAATTTTTGTGATTTATATCGTTTGTGATTTATATCGTTATCTTATATCGGGATATGAGATTTTGGTTCCCAACCAGCAGTGAGCTGGCAATGAGATCACCTGATCTGCCAAATTAGGGCTTTTTACTTGCGGACTAAATCAATACTCAACTAGACCTGACATGTTAGTGACTATTTACAGATAGCTGGTGGCTGTAAAACAAGCCCAAATAATCCCCCCCTCCACCACCGTCCTTGACAGATGGTTTGCAGTGTTCGTGCTGAGATGCTTTCATTGGTTTTTGCCAAATAGGGTGGTGTGCATTATGGCCAGATATCTACAATTTGGTCAAAGGACATTGATCCTGAAGTTCTTTAGTTTGTTCAACTTTTCAAGCCCTTTTCAATGCCATAGTCTTTAAGATAAATCAGGACACCCCTCCAAAATAGGCATAGCTATTCAGTCGTTTTCTAATTATACTGCCATGAACTTTAACATTTAACATGCTAAGTGAGTCTGAGATGTAGCTGTAGGAATTTTAGCTGTTTCACTAAACCAGCAGTCCCCACCGGGCTGCGAGAGTTGAGGCTCGGGTGTGAAATTTATGGTTTTAAGGGTTTTTATCGTTAACTTGGTTTCTCTGGGTCTTTTCTCATGTGTTATGAATTAATCGTCTTTTTTTATGTACCGGTACTGGTTTTATTTTATTGTTTTTATCTGCGACACACCTTAAAGGCCGTTCAGTGAAAATATTGTCAGACCTAAACCAGTCCGTGGCTCAAAAAATATTGGGGACCGCTGCTCTAAACGCTGCACGATCTGACCTTGGCGTGAATTTGTTGGGACATCCATTCCTGGGAAGATTATGGTAAATGTTCCAAACGAGCAAGCTGGCAAAATTTCTGTTTTTATTAAGGTGGTCACACTTGTTAATGATGAGTGAATCAAGTGCATTTCTTTACTAGCACCTCGCTGCTACTCACTCTCTTAACTCCCACAGAAGCAGAAAGAGTGTGCTGCATGGAGTCCTTGAAAACGTTCTTTTTCATGAATTATAGGCATTGGAGATCTATTTTGCCCATTTCTAAAATAACTAATAATTTCTAGAGCAGCATTCAGGGCCACATCTGTTTCATGTAACCTCTGTCTTCCCTGAAAACACTACAGTAAAGTGTTTTACAACCTTTGTGTATCGATTCCACCTCCTTCTCCAGATCCAGGAGCACAGTGTGAGTTTGGCTCTTGAAGACTGTTTCTCTGTTCGCCTTAAGACTGAAGTCACTGTTAAACCTTGAGATCTCTTGAAGGAAGTTTTCCTCCTCTTCTTTAGCCACCATCTTTATCTTGGTCTGGTATGAAAAGGAGGATCATGGGAAATACTTCTAACAACAATATTAACAGACCTTGTGGTACTACAGACTTAATGTTACTGTATAATTATGATAACATTTGGAAAAAAAAGAAAATCTTTGCTCTAAGAGCTTATTGTGTAGAATGCAGAATCCCACCATTTTTGGTGGGATTCTGCTTCTAAAATGAGGCTCTGATTTTACATTATTTTTTACATAACCTAGTTTAATACCTGTGGAATTTTAAACAAGCAATTCTAAAATGTCAAACTCAGTTTCTACGAAAATGCAAACATCTCTGAAGGGTACCACTTTTTTGATCTGTGTTTTCACTGATTAATTGATCGGGTCATTCTATATAGTACTGTGATTCAATCAAGAAGTTAAAGCTATTAAAGCTGAAGAGGTATCCATATTGGATACAACCTGTCTAATTTGAGAGATAAGTATTGATCCAGGCTTCAACCTACTAGATGATCCCTGAGGTGGTTCTTCTGACAGAGCAGCTCTTCAATTTGCTTTAACATCTGGTTCTCATATTTCTTTGCCAGGTCACACCGCAGCCTCATTGCAGACAACTGCTGAGCCTGAAGCATAAATACAGGAGATGATCAAGACACACATGCTGACAGACAGATGTACAGCGAGGGAGATGGATTGGTGATGCTTCGTATGTGAGCAATATCACTTGATACCAGACGGGGTGAAATGAGATCAAAGTTCTAGTTTGGAACAATCAGTATATACTCTATACCTGATTATTAGAGACAGACATAATAACTGGAGTTATTTTGAAACTGTAACTAAAAACATCCTGTTTCGTTAACTAGTTCAGCAACAATTCAGGTTTCTTTTTAAATCGATATCATAAACATAAAGAAAGAGCGATTATGTAGGAAGGTAGATTCTTGCCTTGGGCATAACTTTTGGTGTAATTTCAGTCTGTTTCTTGAGCTAAAGAGGAGAAAGTAGCTTTGCTTTTCTTCTGCTGTAATACTAAAGTGCAGCATGTTTCAGTGAGCACAATCAGCTTCCAAGTCCTATAAACACTGTAATTATCTTAAGACAGCTCTCATAAACCATAAGACCTTACATCATGAGAGCTGTAAACACACTGTGCAGTAAACACAGCTTCCATATCTGCATAATGTAAACAGTCTCAATAGTAAAAAAAAAAAAAAAAAAAGATACCACTGCCATGTGTTTCAAATCATCAGTAGGGCATGGTGTGATCCTTGCAATATTTGTGAAAAAACCAAAGAGCCTCTTTTTTTTAAATTATTTTTAATGGGGCATTATATCTCACAAACTAAAGGTCTCAGTAATGTTATTTGGGGAAATTAGCCATTGAATGTAGAGATTAAGTGTTCTAAATCATAAACTAGATCAGCTCCTCAATATGGCATTGTGCTGCTTTGATAGTTCAATGTCTGCTTTTTTTTAATTAATCAGTTTCTATTCATATTTTACAATGTGTGTGTTTTTTCAGTTTTATAAAGGTGATGATGAGTAGAATGGCCTCTTTCCTTTTGGAAACCACAACAAATTAAATATTAATTATTTTTGTTATACATACACACGTGTTATGTTACATCCCAGGTAAAACATTCCAGGAACAACATTTTACTAATTTTTATTAGAAAATTAATAATATGGGACCTCTGAAATTTGCACTGAGCTGTGTAAACATAAAGCTGTTATGTAATAAATCACAGTACCATGAAACAGACCAATTTACAGGGGCTCCTTCTAAAATACAGTGCAACAAGTGAACACTTTCCATCACCCTGTGACATGATTTTACAGCTAGTGTGTAAATATTTAATAAACACAGTTCAAGATCATTTAAGACATTATATATGATGAATTTAAGCTCAGTAAACTACGGCTACCATCACACAAAGGGTTATTTGAAGAACCAAATGGTTTATATCTAAAATCTAATAAATGTGAGCATCTTAAAAACAGTGCTATGGCTTTGCCTCTGGTCACAAAATATATATAATTCACTCGTTAGCATCAACTAGCAACAGTTTCACCTTTTCATCAAGTTCCTCTTTGCTCTTTCCATACTGCTCAGTGACACTCTTTATCTTCTCATTGCATCTGATGATGGCTATTTTGACTAAAAAACATTTTTGAAAAAACATCACATGATGCAACATTAAACATTAAAATACAGTAGCCTGTATAGATACATATTTAGCATTGTCACTAGCGTTTAGCTGTTAGCTTATTTGCTAGCTGAAGAGTGATAATTAAGCAAAAAAAAAAAAAAACATTCAGAGAAATAAACAAAACTTACCATCCTTGATTTTTTGTGTCTGTTCTGCTAACTGTTGCTCAGTTAAAAGAATTTGTTGAAAAAGTGTGTCCAAACTCATTTTGGCTTAGTAGCTGGGTCAATAAACAGTTAGCTAGCAGACCATCTAACCTAAGGAGGCTAGTTTCTGTCAGGACAAAGAGTCTGAATGACTGACTTAGCTCATTATAATTGTGACATTGTTGCAACATTTTTTAATTAGTTTTTTGTTGTTGTTGTTGTTAAACTTTAATTTGTATTTGTAGTTCAGTATATTTAGCTTTAGTTTTAGTAGTCATAGTTTTCAGTCAGGAGTCATTACTTTTATTGTGTCCTTAAAATGTTTGGTTTTAGTTTTGCTTATTCAGTTATTTTAAATTAAATTTGACATTTGATATCATGATATTGACATTAAATATTATAAAGATTGTTCCTTTGAAAATAAATCAATCAATCTTATACTTTATGCTCTTATACTTATAGATTCTATATTTGGAAAATCCCTCCATTATAGCAGTACAAAATCTGATGAAATACCGCTACTACTAATAATAATGATAATAAGAAGAAGAAGAAGAAAAAGAAATGGTTTTATCACACACACAATAATCAGTGAGTCACATTACTAGACATTAGTTCAAGTTCAGGAAAGTGGACATGAACAAGTGGACGTTGCACAGTTGCAAACATGTCCTAACACCAGGCAGGACCCCACCAGGCAAGACCCCATGGTCTTTCCTGGTGTTGTAGACTCCAGCCTCTATTGACCTTATACTCAGAGCGTGTTCCATTGCTGCTATGATTAGTGCCTCTGTGCTGTCTTTCAGTTCAGCTTTTTCCAGCCCTTGGTAGGATTTCTCAATATCAGCCACTTCTTCTATTTGCCGGTGTTACATACTGTGCTCCTCCAAGAGGAGGAACCATCATGAAAGGACAGGCCCCTGCACAGTATGTAACACCCACAAATATCATCATACAAATAGACAAACTGGTAAAAGCTAACATACTGAACATAGTTGTGGTGGTGGACAAGCAGAAAAACAGCTATAATGATAAATGTAGCAATACCAAATGATAGCAACATCAGGAAGACGGAACATGAACATGACAAATACCAAGGGCTCAGAGAAGAGCTCGAGAAAATGTGGAGGGTGAAGGTAACAGTGGTCGCAGTGATAATTGGAGCGCTAGGTGCAGTGACCCCCAAGCTAGGCCAGTGGCTCCAACAGATCCAAGGAACAACATCCAACGTTTCCATCCAGAAGAGCAGCTAAGATACTGTGCAGGACCCTCACAGAGGCAACCATTCGCACATTCACTCTCGCATTAACACCTATGGGAAATTTAGAGTTACCAATTAACCTATCCTCGCTAAGTAAATACAAATTTAAAAAAAACAAACAAAAAAAACACAATCAATCAGCTAATTATTTATGTCCTGGATATAGCCTCAGTTAACTGTAGATAGTTCATGGATTTATCAGATAAATCACAACTCAACCTGTGTTAAATCTTCAAGTCAGCAATTAAATTGACGTTTTCCTTCTTCAGAGTCATCATCCTTGTCCTGTATCTGCTGGTAATATAAATTAGAGAAGTACCGCCTAACTATAGTGACCGGCAGTACACTGACATTTATCAGTCCCCACTCAGCCTGACTGTTGAGTGTTATGAAGTGCTGTATCGGCGCAGTCAGCTTTCTCAGAGTAATCCATCTACACCTGCTGCCTACATTTGTCACACAATTCCAGACTTTGACCAGGTTTCTAGTAAAAAAAAGAAAAGAAAAAGCCTCTGATCCGGTGCCATAAAACACATTACTGCGTGAAACAGTTAAACGACCAGAGGGCTACATCATTCTGACATTCATTTACAAAATTAATATCAAATATTGATTAGGGCTTTTTTTCATAAATCACCAGCCTGAGCCTCCCCCCTGACTGGCAAACTTCCCTTTGGAGACGTTAGAACAGCAAAGTCATCAAATTGTAAGCAGACAATTATCCCACAGTGCGGACTGAGACTGCCGTTCATCTCATTTTCTGTCTCTTTTCCAGTCATGTTCTCTTTTTAATAATATCCATGGCCTGTGTCATGTCAATGTAGCCTGCAGGATTGACCTGTACCAACCTATCTCTACCTTTTTCAATAAGGGATAAGTCACTGATGTTCAAATCAGTTGCTTCACAGCCCATCTGTGAATGAACCTGCTCCTTGCCTCTCTCTATATATATGTGCAGTTGATTTACTGCTTTGGGCGCAGGATGCGTGATTGATTCAGCCTCAGTCGTTAATGCAGAGAGCGGCTCCTTGACATATGTATTTATCCAAGTGGATTAGCCCCTAAATATACCATACAGGCAATCAATGAGTTACAGGAAGAGTGCAGTTCCATGATGCATCATCCCTGTTTTTGTAATAATCAGTTTGTTGCCTTTCTATACATGTGACAATAAATTGAGCTGCCCATCACCAGAAGCACCAAAGTGACTTTTCTTTCAAATCACCAACAGATGGCGACAGTGTCCGCTCTCCTCTGTGTCAGACTGAGGGCAGGTTTTTCTCAGCTCAGCGCTGTCAGGCTGCTGTCAGCCATCAAAAACATTATATCATACCTCTGACATGAGCAAACACGCAACAGTCCTCTGTGTTCACAGCTGGTAACTACTGTTGCATAACACTTTTTTTCTTCTAATCTTGGTATTTGCAAATAATATAAAAACGATATGAAGCTGGGAGGAGTCACAAATGCGTGATATGTGTGGAGTATTGACTAAACAGCTGAAATACATCCGTCCCACCTTCTCGCTCCAGGTTCAAAAGGTGCTTCACATCTAAAAAACAAAACAAAAACAAACCCTGCCATATAAGCATCTACACGTGTTGCTATATTAATCATGTCATAAACATACACAGGAGCCATTCCCTCTGCCCTCTCCCCATCAGTGCAGCTTATGCACACTCAAATGTGAACACCCCCTCTCACTCACACACACACACACACACACACATTCACATCAATGGTTGTTAAAGTCGGTTCCCTTTATTTTAAATGTAATCACGTGCACGCAGCAGCAGTTAAAATACACCAAAAGTGGCCATTTTAATAGTACTTGTCATGGAAAGTTTATTAAAAACCAAAGGATCATAACGCTAAAGCATATTCTACATTATTTGGTTCATTATTGAGTTAAGTGGGCTAAAAGTTCACGATTGAGTTTTTGTGCTGAGATTGTGGTAAAAGGGGGGGGGGGGGGGGGGGGTTTGCTCTGATGGGAAGGTCTATCATTGTAAATTTATGATCAGATTACTGTACTTTAGCGCGAGGGGGAAGCTGGCACTCTCCTCCTTGCTGAATGCGCTAGACAGCAGTGGGACTCCAGTTGGCTGTGTGCGCTCAGACGCACAGACGCAAGCATCCCACTGGCTGGAGTTGGAGGACACTCGCCCGTTTTTTCGCTTTCCACCGCTGCTTTCATCCCTTGTCTTTGTCTCCTCGCGGTGAGAAGACAAACCCGCCCGGGAAAGACAAAAAAGAAGCGCTTCTTCTCTCTCTCTCTCTCCCTCTCTCTCCCTCTATTGAGTCAAGGAAAGAGCAGAAATCGGGACTGGACACTTTGTTTGGAGGGGAAATTATCTCTCGCATGAGGCGAGCCGGATCTGTCCTGTATACAGAGGAGCGCGCAGTGCTGCACCTTTTCAATGGATTTCAATACAGTGGAAGTACCCTGGGAATTTAACGATTGTTAATTCGCATCAACTTAAGAAATTACGTTCCAACAAGGGGTTTTGTTTCCCACGCAGAAGAAAAACGATGATCCTCGCTGTGTTTTATGTTCTTCTTCCTGTTTTAGGTAAGTTTAAGCTGATTCGCACCAGCAACTGCTCGCTTCGAATTGATTATAGAGTTTCATCAAATATTTAGTAGCGGTCTATTAATAAAGAGGCGCCCGGCAGACGCATCGGCTGCTCGCAGTACAGTGTGGTCGCAACTGTGCAGTAAACTGCTCCAAAAAGAAAAAAACTCTGAGGAGCTGTCAGTGCCTCAACAAACAACAGTGAACGTGACAGCAATTTATACTCTACTTTCAGCTGAATGAAAGTGCCAGTTAGGCAACTATGTGCATAACTGCTCCAAAATAGTGGCTCCAAAAAATAGCCCGTGTACTCTTTTGTGGCGTGTTCATAATAAAAGCTCATATTTGTGTAATATTTTAATCCCTAAAGCAGCTTGAAAAGTGCTTAAGCTTCCAGTGTTTACTGGGAAAGTGAGAAAACACGCGACGGATAAAACTTTTATTTTTCAGATGTGTTGTCTTACGCGGAGGAGAACCTGCGTGCCGGGGCCACCCGGCTGGACTGCGTGCGGGCCAATGAGCAGTGTCTGAAGGAGCAGGCGTGCAGCACCAAGTACCGCACGATGAGGCAGTGCGTGGCCGGCGGCAAGGAGAGCAACTTCAGCATGGTGGCCGGCCTGGAAGCCAAGGACGAGTGCCGGAGCGCGATTGACGCGCTCAAACAGAGCCCGCTGTACAACTGCCGGTGTAAAAGGGGCATGAAGAAGGAGAAGAACTGCCTGCGCATTTACTGGGGGATGTATCAGAGTTTACAAGGTTGGCTTAGACTTTAGTGGAACTGTTTTGTGTGTTCTTGTACAAAATAAACGACCCCGAGCTACAGATTTATGTTTAGAACTATTTAACCATCTTCTAATTAAACTATAGATTTGTGTTGTTATAGTTTAAAGGTCTATCATAGAATTTAAAAAGTAGCTCATTGTCATCTAATGTTGTTATTATAATTTTCTGGGGGGTGTCACAAACCCAGTCAGCCCCCCGCCCCACCTCAGGGCTTTCAGCTATAACAGCTTAAGCCTTCTGATCTGTCTTGAAAGTGGGTGACATGATTGGTTTCCAGCTCCTCCGGAAGCGAAATGAGCCCTCGCCCTCCTTTCCTTTCGTTCTAGTTCTAAAGTACGAGTCTCCTTTTATCTGCTTCCACAAACATAAGAAGAAAAAAAACAAAACAAGTAGCGCACAACCAATGTGATCATGCACAACACAAATTTGCCCCCTTGACTTGGTTCACAGACGTGGTCCTACTGAGCTTCAGATACCTTCTGACCTCTCAAATCACTTCCCTCGCGGGTAATAGAGCGTGAAGCCCCTTAGCGCTAGCTGTGCCATCTCAAAGTGTCGATCATAGCAGGGGGGCCTTTTAGTCCCCAAACTACACCCAGCTCATCGCCAGCGAGTCGACTTCCAGTTGCGCAACACAGCTGACCAACCTGCCTAATCAAGCATGTGGCTGTGCGCCAGCGTGGATATCGACTGACCCAAATAACCCGTGTCACATGCAGGCCAGTGTATGGGTTGAAGGGTGATTAACAACACAAGAAGGAGGCTGAAAATGTATCTATAACATGCTGTCATCTTTCTTGCAGGTAATGATTTCTTAGAAGACTCTCCATATGAACCCGTGAACAGCCGTCTGTCTGATATTTTCCGTCTGGCTCCCATCATAGGTAAGAATATTTAAAAATTCTCCGCCCGTGGAGGCTTTTCCTCCATCTCTGGCCATTTATTTTGCCATTGTTTCACTGTCACCTGTCTCAGTTGAGATAAGCTCCAAGCTGTGCATGCTCTCGTCGAAGGTTATCTGTGTGTCAAGTATTTATCCTCCCTCATCATCTCTGCTATCAGTCTTTCTCTCCCCCTGTTCTCACCCCAGCAATATTGCATGCTGGCTGGAAGTGACCTTGCATGGGGAGCTATAGTTCTGAGTCTCATTGAGCAGTGGGTAAATCTTTCGATGCTGAAGGGCCTCTCTGCTGTTTGAGGTGTATTTTACTGCGGTTTTGTGGGCAGCTTCCTGTTGCGGCTGTTTGAATCCACTTGTTGAGAAGTGTGTGAGTAGTTCTGTGAGTAACTTGGAAGAGCATGACAAGCATTTTTTTTTTCTGTTCAGAGCTGTGTGTGGGAAAGATGCTGACTCGAGCCTCTAGATGGCGATGTTATTCCCTTCTTTGCAGCCACTCAGGCTCTCTGTGGTCCCACAGTTGAGACTGTTGTGGATATTAGACAGGCTGACGTATGTATGTGGCGCAATCATGTTGCTGCTTATATTGTTATTATTACTCTGCAGGTGATCAGCGCCATGACGAATCAAACAGACATGCTCTGCCTCCACATTTCCAAAGAACAAGGCTGATATTGTGACCCCTTTTGAAAGAGAGGTGGTTCTTCTGTTTCCTCTGTCATCTGTGTGTGGTTTATTTTTTATTTTTTTGTGAAATCTCACAATAGGCTGATTCGCCCTAAACCAGTGCTTTTCTCCCAGCCGGGTGAGATCATAATGTGGGTGGCAAGATGCAGATAAGCCAAATCTTAGACTGGGTTATCGACTTCATGACCAATTATCTTCTTTAGAAATACTGGATGGAAAGCCAGTGTTTGTGTAAAGCTCAATCATTTCTATTCCTACTCTCTATTTATTAAAAAAAAAAAAAGGAAGTACATTCAAAGGAGAAACGCCATATGTTTGTGGTTTTTAGTATGCCAGCCAGTCTGAAAAAGGCCATCGGTGCTGAAACACATGCGGCACGGTATCAGAGTTCACTTCACAGGCAGGTGCCACTTCTAGACTGTCAAAGCTGTGGTTTCCCGGGGCGAGAACAGACAGGTTTATGGTCTCATTCTTGTGATGATTTTAGGCTGACAAGTTTGTATTTACTTTTGTTTTAGTGAAAGATCAGAAATGTGAAAAATGCAAAATTGCTGTGGCATAATTTAATAGTTCACATCACATCTCTCCTCAAATGAATGAAACAATGTCTTAATGTGACCCCCTCCTGTCAAGCTTTGAGGTGAATTACTTTTATCATCACAATTGTTTGGACTTGACAGATTTTCATAAGCTCAAGAGAGGAAAGAAAAGAAAAGTTTGAATAATGTTAATAAATCTTTAGTTTTTAATTTCCTCAATGCTCCCACGACCCTCTTTCAATTTATCATAGGACCCCCTTGGGAGGTCCCGAGCAGTTGGTTGGGAAGCACCGGATTAATTGACGAGTTTTAACCGTGCTCGTCCAGATTCCTCTTTATGTCCACATATATCTCTTACTCTAATATCCGATCAGCCCGAGTCTGTCATTAAGCCGCAGTTATGGTGAGCATGACTTCTTTCTATGGCGAGTGAATGTGCAGTGGTGATGAGCATGGGAAAGATGGATAATGCAGGAAGTTATCGCTAGAATGAGAATAGCCTCTTATCATTAGAGGAGATTCAAAGTGTAGAAGAACGGGTGAGAGAAGAAGGCTGCAGAGTAAGGGTTAATCAGTGAGTAGCAGGATAAGGCTAAGAGGACAGGGAGCACAGAAACAGAAAGCCTGCGCTCACTCTGCCTCTTGTGCGCTTTCTGCAGGAAATTAAAGGGCAAGGTGACAGGAGAAGGATCGAGGCAGAAATGATTAGTGCTTGTTTTTGATCACTCAGACAGCCTTTTATATTTCACTTCTACAGTGTGGCACATTGAATTGAGCAAAGAATATTAATGGATACAAAAAAAGCTAAAAAAAAAATACAGACTTTGAGAGGAGAACTATATGAACAGCATTCTTCGGGGATTGTCATTTTTTAAAATTATGCAATTTTTGATCCCGTTCTGCCAGAACTTTCTAAAGAAGCATATTATGGTTCGGCACAATACCCAGCATGCATTTCTCATCGTCTTTCCACAGGTTTCTTTGGTGACTTGTATCACTTTCAAGTTCTTACTGAACACATTTTCTTTCTCTTGCACACTGTCAATTGCATCCCAAAATGTTAGGGACAGCTTTTCTACTCATTTGTGAGACAAATTACTGAATAAAAGAAAACTATTCTTGCAGAATGCACTCAGGTTCTGAGACATCTGTTTGTAATGTACAGATGATTCGAGTTACTGATCTGTGATGAGCCCTCCGCTTCTGGAGGCTCTCTTCTTGTTCATGTGCTTCGTGTTTGTCTCAGTGAGGCAGCGTGGCAGTGATCCCAGGCTATAGGAACAATAGGCAGCCCCGATGATCCTGTAATTCCATAATCGACCCTGTGTCTCTGACCTAAGCCACTAATCTCTAGTGACACCCATACATACAGTGCACAGATGCACAGATGCTCAAACACACACTGCACCGCCCTTGAACACCTGTTCCTAGTGACACTCCCATAAACCTCAGTCTGATTTTATCAGACAGACGCGTAGTGTTGTCTTAGCCATGCAGATGCACAGTTTATGCAACATAAATGTACAGTATATGTGCACTGACTTTGAGAAAAACATTAAAGAAAGCTTAACAGGAATTTTAAGCAGAGAGCATGATGCTGTTTATCACAACACCATTGCACTTTCCTCCTCATGGCTTCACTCAATCGTTAGTAACTGCAAATCTCTGTTAGTGGCTTTTAAACATTTAAAAATATTTAAATCACCCAACATATATTATTGACATGATAGTACTCTCAAAATAATGAAATAATACTACATGCACAGTGCTTCTAGGAGATTTTAGCTCAGATCTTTACCTGAGAAGTCCTTTTACTTCTTGTCAGTCTAGTGACTGACAATCAAGTGTGAGGTACAAAAAGATGAGCACCTACTGTTGCTGTGTTCACTGGTGTTTAGCTTTTGAAAAAAAAAAAGATAAAATATTGGGGTGAAAAAGACCCTACTGAAATTCTCCAGTAGACCTCAAAAGCAATGAAGAGTAAATGCCTTCTTGTCTGTTTTTGTAGTCTCTCATATATGCAGATTAATGTCTCTTTGCTGTCTGGAAGTTGCTAGAGGTCATTTGCGGACTGGCAACACTACCATATCTTCCTGTAGGTTGGCAGCTCCATTAAATGCTTGTTTTTGTATCAAAGTGATGACAGCTTTAAGTCTGGAACTTTTTTAAATGCGATCTCTGCACATGAAATATTTAAAACTGGTGCTTAACTATTTAACCACTGTGCGTGGTGGAAGGAAACAAGGCTTAAGTGTGTGAGGATAGAGCAGACCCGTCTTTAAATTAGGCCGTCAATTGCACTAATCAGTTTCCTTCCTCTTTAAAATATCAAAGTTTTCAGTTGCTTTAGCCCTTTCTTCCCATCTCTCTTTAGCAACTCTGTCTGATTCACTTGGTCTTTTACTTCATTAAAGTGCTTACATGTCTTCTGCTATCTGTGAAACTGCAGAGACCACCGCTTATTTTAAAAATCTTGTTTTCATTTGACATATATAGACGATGCAGATACTTTCATCGATATGTCTTGCATGTGTTATCTTTTCATCGAACGTATACATACTCGATTCAGTTTAATGTGTAACCTTTCTTTGAACTGCAGTGACAGGCTTTGGAAATCGGTAAACAAAAAAGGTAGACGTCGCGTTGAGAGGAGGGGGGAAAAAGCAATTTTCTATCACACGGCATGAGTTCGTTTAAGCCTAGAGGAAGTAGAGAGCAGACTTTACATGAAATAGCTGCCTTTTTCTTCACCACTTGCCCATGTTTATGAGTCAGTGATCCATGCAGGAGAGAGCAACACAGAAACACAGCATATTATTCTGAGATTCAAGTGAACTTGGAATTACTGCCACGCCATTTGGCCCGGGGTGCTGGAAAATCAAAGTGGCCAGGAAATGGATGAATACACAGCCTGGGTATGTTCTTATTATTATCTTCATGAACAATTGCTGCTACAGGTACCTTTCATGTTTCCATGGGCGCTTCTCTTTTTTCCTCTTCAGTGGCTCCTTCTGTTTCTTGTGCCTTCCACATTATCTTGTTATTTGACAATTTCATTCTGTAAATGCACTAATCAGTTGCAACAATAAAGACGGACAGGCCAATAACATTCATTATTTTGTTAAAATGGTACCTTCCAAGGGATGCGTTATAAAGCATAAGGCAGGAAGTAAACAGTCAGATGTTGAAGTCGAAGTTGACATCGTCCATGTCATGCAGGCTGGACAGCTGCGTCAGATATCTAAGATGGCAGGTCTTGTTGAGTGTTTCTTGTACACAGTGGTTAGTACTTACAAAACATTAGAAAAGGGTGGAGAATTGATGGACCAACAAGACGGTCAGCAGCTCATCTGTGCAGTTTGATCGGATAGTAGAGCTACTATAGAAGCTACAGTATCTGCCTGCTCCCCATAGGCTGGCATAAATGTTAATGTTGAGGGATTTTTAGGTCCTGCAATGGACACATGAACCTGCTACTGTTCCTGTGTGTCTTTTAACGAAGAGACTGAATGCTGAGAATTACAACCCCCCCCCCCCCCCCCAAAAAAAAACACAAAAAAAAAACAGCAAGTCATCAGAGCCGCAATAATATGGGCAACGCTGGGCAATAACCTGGGTCCTTGCATTCATGTGAATGTAGCTTTGAAACATACCGTAACATTGCTGTTGACTACATACATCATTTCAAGCCAGCGGCATTTCCAGATGGCAATTCAGAAATGGGTAGAGAACATGAGAAAGAGTTCAGAATGTTGATGTT